GACGAAAAATTATGGGTCTATTTGCTTGTGACCACTCAGTGTATATCGTATATATACATATATATTATTCATACCTTCGGTGTATAGGATGCAAGCAGATTTTATACACCGAAAAATACGGTATATATGTGAAATCTGATGTAATGTCACTCATTTATTCAGGTTGCAAAACATTCACTACTTGTGAAGTAGTAAACATAATTTCAATAACTAATGAAAGGAATCAGTTTCCAGTTCTTTCCTTACCTCCCACTGGAACTGTCTTAGCTACCATACAATGATGGAAAAATTCAATGTAAACATGTATGTGAGGTGGTTTTACTTGGTGATTGGTCAGGGATGTGGCAAGGTTTGGAGATCTAACTTACTTAACTACATGTGTAGTGTCCTATAGAAACTTAGTGAATTAGACGTTTATGCACTCACTATTCCTACTGTAAGAAGCAGCACATACTGTACATCCAGATTAGTGATTTTTTCCTATAAAAGGCCAGGTTGTGAACTGATTTGTTGTAACCTTCAACTCTACACTCTAACTGAACATCTGACAAATCACAGGCTAAAAAATTATTGAAACTCCATAATTACAGAACTGAGGAAAAAATTCAAAAACAATTGAATGTTTCACAAACCTTCATTTATCAACGACCATAGTTTTGCCACTAAAGGAACGATCAGGTACAGAAATAGCTTATTGGGTTGTTTTTTTTACTGATGGGAATATCACATAGAAATACCTAATTGGGTTGTTTTTGTTCTGATAGGAATATCACACAGAAATAGCTTATTGGGTTTTTGTTCTGATGGGAATATCACACAGAAATAGCTTATTGGGTTGTTTTTGTTCTGATAGGAATATCACACAGAAATAGCTTATTGGGTTGTTCTTGCTCTGATGGGAATATCACACAGAAATAGCTTATTGGGTTGTTCTTGCTCTGATGGGAATATCACACAGAAATAGCTTATTGGGTTGTTTTTGTTTTGATGGGAATATCACACAGAAATAGCTTATTGGGTTGTTT